CGTTCAAACGGCTGTGTAGCTTTAATAAGATTGCCAAAAGGGTGATTGAGGAAACGAGGCTTCAATTCCGAACAAATACTACACTGATTTGTAATCGCCTTAACATCATCGGTCGAAAACGGCAAATTTTTTGAGCGAACGAAATGAAGCATCCGCGTGATACCGGGGTGACATAATGTATTATGAAGATGTTTGAGATCCACCTGTGACATCGCAGATACGTAATCAGTCCGCGATAGTGCGTCAGCGGCTTTATTCTGATTACCTGGACGGTACTGGACATCGTAATGAAAACAGGACAGTTCAAGTCTCCATCTCTGGATTTTGTCGTTTTTTACTTTGCCTTTGTGTTGTTTGTCGTACATAAAGGCGACTGATCGTTGGTCCGTGACAAGTGTGAAGTGATTGCCGATCAGGTAGTGTCTCCACTTTCTCAGAGCTTCAACAATCGCGTACGCTTCTTTTTCGATTGCTGAATGATGCCGCTCACTGTGTGACAGAGTGCGTGAAAAGAAAGCTACCGGGCGCCCGTCTTGATTGAGAGTGGCCGCAATGGCTATGTCGGAAGCATCAGTTTCCACAACGAGTGGACGAGTGTAGTCTATGGTGAAAACGGCTGCCTTTTCCAAATCGTGTTTGAGCTTATTCAGTGCCGCTTGTACGCTATCTGGAATCGGGAAGATCTGATTGCGGACGATTTGATGAATCTTATCTGAGAAACATGGGATCCAGTGTGCGTAGTATGCCAGCATTCCGACCAATCTTCGTTGTGAACGGATGTCACATGGATGAGGCAACTCCCGTAGGGCTCGAAAACGTTCAGGATCCGGTTTTATCATACCATGAGATATTTCGTATCCCAGTAATAGTACTTTCGCAGTAGCTATGATGCTCTTTTTCTGGTTAAATGTAATACCGTGACGTTTTGAGGCCTCTAAGAATTTCTTCAAATTTCGATCATGTTCCTGGGCATCGCGACCACACACGGTAACATTGTCAACATATGCGAATGTATCGAGCAGATTTTCCTCGCGTATGATGTTGTCTATGGTGCGTTGAAAGCAGGCCACACCATTAGTAACTCCGAACGGAATGCGGCGAAATTGAAAGAGTTTACCACATGCCTCGAATGCAGTATATGGCTTGTCTTTGTCGAGAATGGGGATCTGGTGGTACGCACTTTGAAGGTCTAGTGTGCTAAACACCGTGTAATGGGAAACCTTCTCTACAAGTTCGTCCACCTTCGGCAGAGGATACGCATCAAGGTAAGTGAAGCGATTTATGGTTTGACTGTAATCGATGACCATGCGCTTCTTATGCCTGTCATTCGTAGTAACGAGAACCTGAGCGCGCCAAGGAGAGTTAGACGGCTCAATAATTTTGTCAGCTAGTAACTTCCGAACCTCCGTCTCGATAAATACCGTATCCGTGCGAGAGAAACGACGAGATTTAGTGGCAATTGGAGTACATCCAGGGGCGAGATTATCAAACAAAGAGGGGGCGTTGACTCTCGCTGCTTTCAATGTGCATATGGCGAATGGGGGCCGCTTACCCGTGAATGGTATGATGACACTTTGGTGTTGACTGAGGAAATCCAAGCCAAGGATGACGTCTGAACACAAATTGGATAAGAGCGAGAGTTTGACACTTTCGTATAGTGTGCTTTTGTACAGAACGGTAGCATAAAGATGACCGCTAGTAACACACGATAAGTTCGTTGAAGCCATCGAGATAGCGCTCTTAGAGGATGTTATTGTCCAACCATGCTTTAGTGCGATGTCAGAAGAAATATAACTTTCGCAACTACCAGTATCGATAAGTGCGTGAAGTGGGATATTATTCACTATAACATCAACGATTGATTTGGAAAGTCCCATGGATGAAGAGATGTTGAAAATGGATGAGACACCAGGGTTCACCGTCGATGTGATACGGCTTGAACCCAGTTTGGATCGACAAACTTTTTGGAAATGACCTTTCTTGCCGCAAGAATGACAGAAAGACTCACGAGCCGGGCATTTTGAACGAATGTGCTTACCGTTGCCACAGAAGAAGCAAGATAAGGATGTGCTTGCAATCGTGTCACTAGATTCCATCTGAGAGATAAAAGCATCACGAACAGGAGTAAGAGGTTTATCAGTTTTGATAGATGCGGCGCCACAGGGAACATGAGAAGACGAGTCGTATGAGAGTGACTGTTGTTGAGCATGTTCAAGCAGACGTGCCTCGTCAAAAGCTTGTTGAAGCTTAAGAGTGTGTTTTTCTAGTAGTCGTTGGCGAACGGAATTAGACTGCAAGCCTGTGATAAAAGCGTCTCGAATAGCCTCATCCCGATGTTCATCGGCAGAAACCGCACGAAAATTGCAGTCCTTGGCAAGGTAACGTAATTTTTGCAGGAACGCGTCGACTAATTGGCCCGGTTCTTGTTTGGTAGTAGCCAGCACGTGGCGGGAAAACACTTCATTTTTGGGTTTAATGTACATCTTTTCGAGCGTCTGGATGGCGTCTTCGTAAGTAGTACAATCACAAACATGTTGATAGACGGACGGAGAAAGGAAATTTACCAAAAGTTTTCTTTTGTCAACGTTTGGGAGTTCGATGCATGAGAGGAAGTTCGTAAACGTTTCGTGCCAATGGATCCATTGTTCTGAAGCAGAAGAGGATTGGGGGTTGGCGTCAAACCGATCTGGGCGAAACAATCGTTCCATTGTATTTTGACAGAAGATTAAATTGTTGCACACTCGAATGATTGTGCCAGAAACAGAGAACGAGGATTGCCGAATGATTGGCTTTTATCTTCTATCAATTTCAGTACATCAGCTAAAACATTAGGAAACACAATCAGCTCAACGAATAGCGAGTAAAAAAGTTAAACACAACATCAGTATATAACACCCCACCTCCCCGAATTATCGGTGAACGAAACTGTGGTAGCTGCAACCACTGTAAGACAAGTACGCGGTTCTTACGGCTGCTAATGATGATTACAAGAAGTGGTATGAATATACCACGTGTGGAGGACAAATCTGTAACTGTCAAGCCAGAACAGACTTCCGAGGGTGCGGTTAATGTGCAATCTAAAACGGGAAAGAACAACACCCATTTGTGCGCCAATTACGATTGTGAAAAGAGTGCCGCTCAAGCCTATACGGTACCAGCATAGTCCGCAAATCACACATGCTGTAGGACTTCATTATGGCTCCATTTCATCCCCCTGGGTTCGCAAGAATAAGGGGGGGCATAGAGCCGGTAAATGCAGGAAAGCCAGGCTGTGACCGTAATGGCTGACATGGTTCAGCCATTGGTTAGGGTGAACTTCACGCAGCAGGCGACGTCGACTAGTCCACTCATTTGAAAAGCGTTGTTTCTTCCTGTTTTCATGCTGTGAGTGAAATAGCCTGCGAAATAGTAAAAGCCTACTTTACTTTTGTTAAACTCAGTCAGCTGCGGCATTGGGCTGTCGATCAAGTGCAAAGCTTATACTTCTCGTGTGTGGTCCGTTTTCCACGACTGGAAAACGTGTCGCATTCACAAAGATGCACATAAATTCTCGGGTTTGGACTTCCAACAGTCTGTTTATATCGGGACAGCATTGAAGCAGTATGTAAACGGATGTTTTTTAATACACCGATTTCACGTGAAATAGATCGGTTGACTGAGATTCAAAGATCGATAGCGACCAAGAACTTTTGACGAAGCCTTAACCAGGCTGAGAAAGAAGGGCCGATGGTCACTGGCTATGAGTGGCTCTTCGTGAAACTGGCAGGTGTCCTTTTACGAGCTAAGGATCTTTGATCTGTCACAAAGAGACCGGATCTTACCTGACTGAATCCCAGCCCACGTACAACCATGACACGGCCGTATCGGCCGTCGCGTGGTGCCATCAGCCGGGTCGCCTTACTCGCTGCAGACATCAGGGTGGGTAAGCGGAAACCTGTTATTGCTGACGCCTCCTTATTTCTCTTTCACATATTTTCTCCCTCTTTCCCCACCCGAATAATAACTCTCCTCTTGTAGGCCCAGCACTTAGGACTGATGAGTTTTTTCGTTCTGCATCGGTTTTACGCGCAACATCTGCTCGTCACATGGCGGCGTCTTCTTCATGTATCTCCAAATCAATCTTCATACCTCGACACCCAGTCTATATGGCTGCCTTCAATGTCCGCACTCTGAATCAAGCAGAACAACAAGCTGCTCTTGCATTCACACTGGACTCGCTTGGCATTTATATGTGCTGTGTCTCAGAAACGATAATTCAAGATGCAAACACAATGGTTGAGCTAACCGCCCTATCGGTCTCCACTCGCTTCCGGCTACACACCTCTGATGATCCAGAGGCTGCTGCAGCGGGATGTGCAGGGGTTGCTATCATCCTAAGTCGCCGGGCGGAAGTATCCTTCCATGACTGGATACCTGCTGACAGTCGCCTCTGTACGGTTCGTCTGGCAACGTCTGTGAACAAGTCTCACAAGCGGGAAGCTGATCGCTGTCTGTTTGTCATGTCCGCTTACGCCCCAACTGACTGTAGCTCCGACGTCGTCAAAGACAGGTATACGACGCCCTGAATGCCTTGCTGCGGCGAGCTAAAAGCTCAGATATCGTGGTGGTTGCCGGAGATATGAATGCAAAAGTGGGCAGACTTAGTGTATCTGAGACATGGATTGGACTCGGTACGTACGGACAATGGTGAACGATTGCTTCAGCTGTGTGCTGTTTTCAGGCCGTTTTTATGCAGTACTAACCTCCGAAATTGCCGAAGTCGTCTGGCTACATGGTGTCCTCCAACTACAGGCCGGCCGCAAACTCAAATCTATCAGGATACCATTAGCTACCGATGGCGCGATCAACAACTGACTGCCGGTCGTTTTATAACACATTTGTGGATTCTAACCATGCACTTGTCCGGGGCCGCAGGGAAAAGTACTTGAAGTTGCTGAGCTTTTTACGTATCTTGGAAGTTGTATTAGTTCTGATTTTAGTGTGACAGTTGATACCAATGCATGAATCTGCAAGGTCCGGGTCGCGTTTGCTGATTTGAGACACCTATGGCGTCAGAGTGCTGTATCCCTGAATCTGAAGGGACGTGTATATCAAGCTACAGTAAGGGCTGTTTTGTTGTATGGCTGTGAGACTTGGCCTATTCGAGCAGCGGAACTGAGACGTCTTCAGGTGTTCGACAATCGTTGTCTCAGAACCATAGCTCGTGTGGGTTGGTGTCGGCGAATCCGTAACGCGGCAGTTAGAGAGCGCGTTTTCGGTTGTGTAACGGGTACTTCCATTGAAGAATGTGTCCAGCACCAGAAGCTGCGTTGGTTGGGACATGTGTTACGTATGCCGAACCATCGTTTGTCGAAGAGAGTGCTGTTTACCATGCCCAACTCAGAGTGACGTAAACAGAGAGGTGGCCAATCCTTGACTTGGCAGAGGAGTATGGAAACGCTTGGGTGCTGTCGGTGCTACTAGCCTTCCAGGATGGGGACCGCGTGATCCACACTGTGCCTGGTTGGAGACACTACAAGATATGGCTGCCAACTGATGTCGTTCTTGTCAGTTTTATCCAGATTGTTTGAGTGAATGTCTGGAGGTGTAGGCACCTCGGAATGATCGTAGTAAGCTAGAACTAAGTCTTTTCCCCGTCCACCTTTTTTCTTTTCTGTACAATAAGGCTTTCAAATAAGTCATGGCTGTATGGCGGTGAAGCATCGGTGTTGAACACTGATGTCATGCTGTCGATGATGATGATGACCTTTTATCTCATACTTCAAAGGCGTCAAAAAACAGGAACAAGTTCTGAGAAGCTGGCACAAACAATAGTTGTCGATAGAGTGCTGTTAATCAAGCAAAAACAGACAAAGCAAACGTTCAGCTGCAGCATAGCTCTCGGAGCTCTGAATAAGCACGGGAGCTGAGATGCTACCAGGTTATACCAGCCTATACAATCAAAAAGCCAGGGCTGGGCTCGAATCACCGTCATCCTTCCTGTGGTTTTAGTCATTAACAACGGGGCTATCACGGGCTCCGTTTCCTGTTATATATCCCTCAGCAAACAATCATGGTTTGGTCGTGATTAGAAGTGTTGTGAGGTCGTTTGTAGTCGGCAAGTTTGTGATACCAGAAATGGACTGTTACGCGTTTGTATACACCATGCGAGTTCTTTATCCTTCAGATGTCCTAATTCTTTACTGGGCCCCAAGTTTTCATATCCTCAGACACGCCGGAGTAGTGGTCGGTTGTGTAACAGTTGTACTCCTGAGAGAAAGAGCTTTCATTTAGTGAACAGTCCTTCCCTGAGCTTTCGGGGGGAGGAGGGAGGAGGGACCAATTTTCTGGAGCGTGCAGTTTTACCCGGTGTCTTGACGATTATTTGGGGACCGTCGCTATACGTCGTCGCTATATAAGTCAGTCGTCTCAAACGACCACGAACATCAATAACACTGCGTTATTTGTGTACTCGTTGATGCTTTTCACTGATTGACCGTCGTTGACTTTCAGCGTGTGCTCTTTACGTCTAACGGACAATGCCAAAACGAACCTCGCGTGATGAGGGCTCCACTGCCGCAAAAAAGTCCAAAATACTCTTGAACTTCGAGCTAATCGGCAACGATCTCACCGGTTTGTTTTCCCCTTTTGCCTCAGTAACCGTTTAGTATTATCAAAGTTTGTAGAATTGCTGCACCAAGAAGATGACATGGATGAGCTCATACACCAGGCATTATCGTCCCCTACCGTGATGGATATCTTATCTTTCCTAGACTCCGGCATTCGTCGAAAGAGCTCAGAAGTATTCTAGTCCTCGTCCGTTATAAATCTTTTACAGCTCACCACTATATTTCAAGCCCTTTATGTGCTCATCTTACGTGGCGTTGGGCTCGATGCGCATAATTCCATCGCACTTGAACTGGCTGAAGGGGTACTTGAAGATTTACGATTTAGCACATGTCTTCGTGGTTTGAGTGTGAGTCAGGGCGCAGAAACGATGAAATCAGCTTTGCGCCTGTTGGCCGCAACAGCCGCTGCTAGCGTGGATCTCGCACGCGGACTTCTTAAACTGTTAAATTTCGAAAACCAAGAAATGATACAATGCTCTCGTCGGCGGAACACTGCCGATGTTTGTGACGTACGAACTTGCTTTCTGAATCTGGTAGGCGTGTTTGTGTTCAAGGAAAATAATGCCCTCCTGAGAGAGCTTGTGAGCAAAAAAGGTATCGGTCCGGATTTACTCATTACTCCTTTGCCCCCAGGTGTATTCTGGCTCGTTCTGAGTGAATCGTATATAGACAAATATTCCAACGTGATTCTTATCTTGCAAATGCTTCGAAAGGTTTGAGTATTCCATTTGTATGACTGATCTGTACTCCCTGTTCAGATTGTTGACAATAGTACAATCAGTAAGACGCAGAAAGTTAATTTGTTCAATAAGAATACATTGAAGCAGCTGCTATACTTGTTTTCTTGGCGTGGTGAAGCAGTTAAAATCAGTGATGCACTATCCAGGGACCAGCTGGATAATACGCACCCTCATCTTTCATCGATCCGATCGACACTCTATGAACTCCTGCTGATCTTGCACACCTCTACTCGTTTTGGGTTGGTATTCGCCGGTCGTCATAGAGAAGTTGATGCGTACGTCGTTCTTTTGTTGCATTGTTCTTTATGGCCAGACATGGGGATTCGTCGTAGATCTTTCTCATCATACCCCAAGTTTTTCCAGTCCTGTTTCGCCGTTTAGGTTCCCGGTGGTTTGATGTTTCTGCAACAAATACAATGTCTACAATGGCTTCTAAGTTGCCTGTAGATGACAAGCGATCATGTTCAGTTTTAACACCCTAGTTGCCATGCCACTCGATGGAAGCATGAGGACTAATATGGTACCAGTTTGCCCAAACCTAGACGGGTAGTCGGGATGTCGGGATTGAAGCTTATCAATCCTTTGTTTGAAAACCGGCAAAACCTTTCATCCAACTCCTATGTATAACTGTTCGTTCAGGTTTTTCTTCTTAAGGATCAAATTTCCGGATGTTCACATCCCAACCCTTCAGTACATTGCTTTCTGAGCGATTGTGAATGTAGTCTCTTACTCAGCATGACGCACTCAGCGTGAAATCTAAAATAGGTGCTTAGGGCTAAACAAAACGGTGGTTTCTTCACTCATCACTTGTAGGTCCTCGGATGAATTGTGTTTCGGAATACCTTGTGGCTAGGGTTTTTTCTTTATGTTGTCACTAACTTACCGACTGTTTGTTGGTTTTGCAGTGCAGTGCTTACTTTACTTGACCAACAGAACGTTTATTGCCGAGTTGTGATTCCCCCCCCCCCACCCGAAATGGCGCGCCCAAATCGTATTAGTGTCAGA